GAAAAAAAGCTTTAACAGAGACTACAATTAGACAGACCAAAACATGAAAATGTGGATTATTAGGCAAACTTTGTGATATATATATTTTATCATTAGAAGATTATATACAAATTTGGCAACAACTAGAATCAATAGATTCTTTGCAAATTGAAGGTATAGAAAATTTGCTTGCTTCTTTTAATAGGTTCTTGAATAATATATCTATAAATTCTAAAAATGATACCAGTTTTATATATCTTTATAAAAATGCAACATTGAAATCTACAGATATTATTCATGCAGATTCATCATATAATAACAATCTGTGGATTAGAGATATCACAATTGTAATAAATACAAATGAGTTTAACAATTAAAAAGCATGCTTTGGAAAGATAATAAATAATTCTAAGCACTAGTTAAAATTAAAAAAAAATTTAACTTGTAAAATGGCACTTGAATTATACTATTCAACAAGCTGAGTTTTTTAATTTTGATTAGTGAAGCAAATTTCGATTCTGAATTTGATTAATATTTATTTATAGAATACCTTATTTTTTCAAGATTAGGTATTATTATTAGGAGAATTATATGTTAATAGTTCACTTAAAACTGAAAACTTTGCCTTTGCTATAGTGAAATAGTATGATTATTGTGAACCAAAAGAGAATGATCCTGAACCAATAAAGATTTATAGTTGCTCTAGACTAATAATGCTTCAAGATTATAATATAGTACTATTAGATTCTATATCTCATACTATTTATATTATTCTGAGATTTTATAAAGAAAATCAATTTTTAGTGAATAGATATCTTTTTTAGCTATAAGTTTTATATAAACATTCTGGCATTAATTTAGTAGTATAGTAAAATCAAATTTGTATTAGATGCGTGCTAATTTAGAAATAATGTATTTATTTTTAGTTACTATCGCTATATCAATATTATTATGAAATTATATTTATTTAGTAATGATATATACAAGTGTATATTTAAACAATTTTTAATTCGACCTGGAAGAATTAGATAATGACAGTACTCTAACATCTAACCTGAGTGCCTCTAATTTCTGCAGAACCGTGAGGACCGGGTATACTGCAAGCGCAATTGTAAAAGATATCTAAAAGATTCCATTTACAATCTCTTCCACCTCCTATAAACCTTTCACCTGCTTTAATAAATTCCTTTTATCACAAAACCATCTACCCATTTCATCACCCCAAACACTTAACTCTTTTTTCTTACATCTACTAACAAATGGCCTGTGGAGTAACCTCCAAGACA